ATTTGGCAGTTGCTTCTGACATGAATAATCAGTCGTTAATTGAGAACATGAAAAGGGAGTTGCTTCATCTTGACATCAATTCACAAATTGGAAGTTGCATGCCGCTTGGCGCCATGCGAATTGGAACTATCATCCACAACATTGAGGTGAATCCTGGACAAGGTGGGAAGCTGGTTCGAGCTGCAGGGACTTCTGCTAAAATCCTGAAAGAGCCCACTGCAACCTACTGTACAATAAGACTGCCCTCCGGTGCTGAAAAGAGGGTTGACTCCAAATGCAGGGCCACTGTTGGTGTGGTATCAAATCCAAGCCATGGCACTCTGAAACTTAGGAAGGCTGGACAGAGTCGGTGGTTGGGTCGCAGGCCGGTTGTTCGGGGAGTGGCAATGAATCCCATTGATCATCCTCATAGTGGAGGTGAGGGTCGAAGCAAAAGTAGTGGGAGCTTTGGTGGGGTTTCACAAACTCCTTGGGGCAAGCCGACCAAGTGTGGTTACAAAACTGCATCTCCCAAGCGTAGAAAGTAGTCTTTTTCATCATCCTTCTGTATTGTGATTCTTTTGCTGCACCAGTGATAATTTAACAAACAATTCATGAATACATATGCACTTTGATTCAAAATTACTGAAAACTTAAAAAGAAAGGAAAAGAAAAGACAGGACTTACCTTCATGTTGTATGTATGGTATGTAGTATGCAGAGGGTGCGGGTTAATGAACTGAGTTTTCGAGCAGAGAACAAAGATAATACAAACAGACAGGGGACATGGTGGTTTTATAGCCTTCATACTGAGAAAATTATTTGGATTGCACAGACCATGAGTTGACCCTACGGTAGATGATCAACTAATGTAATAATATAGAACACGGTTCTGCAGACCAAGTCAGATTACAGGGCTTTTCAAGGAAAATGCTTCATATTCTTCTCCGCTCTTTCCTTCTTATCTACCATATAATAATAATAATAATAATAATAATAATAACAATAAATCAATCTTGTTTTCCACCTTTCACTATGCCGCGGTAGGAAAATGATCTAGAGAGAACAATGACAAGATATAAAGTAGTAACTGTTTTATCCAAAATATAATTTCCTACAGAGATTCTCAGTTTAAGCAAGGAACAGTCCTTGCATGGTTGATGCTATATACACTAATGCATAGCTAGCTTCATAACTCAAAACATCAATAAAGTGTTGGCGAACACAAATCTACATACATCCTCTTAGATTCCAATACCATTACCACAATTCCCAAGTCTCACTAGCATTTAACAAATAGATTAGAGTTGCAGCACCCCTGGCCACACCCTTGGCAGCTTTGAACTCGAGATGTTCATGTGGTTCTCATGCTTTAAATACAAGTCTTCTCTGGAGGATCCTTTTCGCACTTCCACCATCCATCTTCCAAAGTCATGCTTTGCTCCCTCAGGTAAAGAATATGGCACATCAAAATTACACCCCCATCTTTCAACAGCAGAACACTGCACGTTATAAGAAGGCCTTGGATATGTTTCGACTCGACCATTCAAGTTGCCACCAAAGTCCCAAGAGTGATCATTCCCAGGCATGATGGTAGAAGGCAACCCCACATGAGGTTGTATGTGATTCATGTCAGTAATGCAATCTCCATGTAGCCAACTGAAATCAGGAAAAGTATGCTGCAGCCGTAGGTGATTCATGTCAGTAATGCAATCTCGATGTAGCCAACTGAAATCAGGAAAAGTATGCTGCAACCCTGCTTGGCTTCGATATTCGATATCTCTTCCAGCACAGATGGTAGAAGTCAACTCCAAACGAGGTTGAATGTGGCTCACATTGGTAGTGTGATATCTAGGCAGCAACCCCGCTTGGATTGGATAATTGATATGGCTTCCAGGTTCAGCATTATTGGTAGAAAACAGCCCCCTATGACATCGAATGTGACTTCTTGGTGACAAACTCAAATTAGATATTATGCTCGGCAGCTCTACTTGTCTTGGATTATTGATATCTCTTCCAAATGCAGCATTTGAGCATGTGTTAAAATTCCAAGAGCAATCATTCATGGCATCCACTATATAAGGCAATTGCGGTTGGAGTAGAAAGGGATTCACAGCTGCAATGTGTTTTCTATAACTATAATTGAAAGCAGATGTGTTTGGCTGCAGCTGCCTTTGGGCTGGGGAGTCCTGCAATTGCCGAGATATGTTTTTAGTTCTATTCAAAAATCTGAATTTGTAGGTATTGCACAAATCCAAAGGGAAGGGTTCATCACATTTTGAACCAGACCCTCTCTTATTGTTATAACCAGGGTAATCTCCTATTTTGAACTCAACACTCTCAATCAGGTCCAGAGAATTTGCAGAAGCCAGTTCCTCGAGATTCCAACAACAAAAAGGGTGTTTGATTTTGTGGTTCACATGTATTTCACCATTGACTTGAAGCATTCTGCTTGCACTGCTGAAGAATCCACTCACAAGAGTCCTATGTTTCCTGCAGTATCATCAACATAGGACATTAAAAATAACCAGAATGATAATAAATTATACACACATCATGAACTTGAGAACTTACAGAATCACCCAGTATTCACGCTCATCTCCATGGAAGCCTGAATGAGGGAATTTGAAGATAAATCGATCAAATCTGCGCTTTTTTAAGTCATCATGATTCTTCATTTTGGTTGCATCAACTCCGTGTAAAATGGTTGCGCCCCGCTTCTTCAAATTTTCCAAATTCGACTTGGCATTCTTGTACTTGTTGATGACATCATCTGTTCAATCAGAAGACATACCATATACAAACAAGTAGAAAACAAAACAAACTCAGGCTCAGCAGATTCATTAATGTAACTGGAACATTAATACCAACTAATTAAGAAGGACAATATATACAAAAAAATATACTACTAGATGAACCATGGTTTTTCCTGATAGCATTCCGATCATTGTTTTAAGAGATGTGATCAAACTAGGGGACACATAGCAATAAAAGGCATTCGGGGTTTAACAAACTTGCATGAGATTATTGGACTCTTATTAAAGAGGAACAAAAACACATGCATCATCACCAACATTGTCATCAACTAATTAGCCAAACAGCAAGGCCAATACGCAAACTAAAGAGCAAAAGCCCTATCATCACAAATTAATGATGGGTCCTTTTCATGCATTATAAAAACAAACTCCCAAAATTGCAATAAAAAGAAAAAAAAAAGCATGACAAAAGCCTATTGATTGTGTTAACCAATGGAAGACAAGCATCAAACTTGAGTGATCATTCTATCTAAAAACCCTTACTATGATAGACATCAAACTTGAATACATACAATTATGAAAGAAATGATCAATATGGGTCTATCTCTTTATACCTTCTGAGTCGAGAGAAGTAGCACAAACGTTAGAGGCAGAGCCAAAAGAAGAGGCCAAACTCGAAGAATAGGAGAAATCTCCTTCGCCCACTAAGAGAATTTGATCTTGGATGAATAGTGGGTTACCCACTTCTCTTCTTCCTCCTCTTGATCAACACCCAGTTCCGTTCTAGCCTCCTCCATGGCCATTAACCTTTACTTTTTTGAGTATCAAATAAGTCAAATAAGTAAACGGGAGGAAAGCCCCCCTCTCCCATTGCTACAATAATTTTCATTTTTCCACTTTTGCCCTCCTAGTTTCCTCCCTCTATTTTTCAAGTCATGAGTGGTTTTTTTGTCATTTGATATTAGGCTTCCACTTTTGGCAAAAGGTGCAGATCAGCCCCTAAACTCAACAACTGGTGGCAAATCACCCCCTCAACCCACTTCACGCGCAAATCAGCCCCTCAACTCCCCTGCAGTGGCAAATCAGCCATTCTCTTAACGTTTCCGTTAACATTTAACATTCCGTTCATCAGCCCTTCCTCTGTATCTGACATGGTAATTTTTTGGCTGAGATGGATGCTGAGGTGGAGGCACACTTGGACAAATCACTTCAAATTAGTAGATTAGACAAAAATTACTTTTATTTACATCTGGTTTCACTTGGGAGGCTGATTTGCCACTGTTCAATCATAAAAACTGAAATTACAGTTTTACCGCTTAACCCTTCTCTCCCTCAATGCTCAAGCAGTGACACCACTTCGACTCTCTCTCTTCACCTCTCTCTCCTCCCTCCTCCTCCCCCTTTCTCCTCCTCTTCTTCCTTTATTTTCTGGTTTAGAGAAGGGTTCTGTGAGAAACCACCAAAGAATCCATCAAATTGTCTCTGGTTTCCTCTGGGTCTGGGTTCTCCGGTGATTCTCCGCTTGGGGCCGGACGAGAGATAATGGAGGAGGAAGAAGAAGATGATGACAAAGAATTTCATTTCTGTAATTTCTTGAATCTTTGAGTGAAAAACTTGATTTTGGAAGATGGGTATGTAGGAAAGTGAGGTAAGAAAAGCTTGGAAATGGAGGATGGGGGGTTCGGTTTTGTGCAAATTTGTTTTGTAATTTGGTGTCTATGTATATACAAGAAATGGAAAAACAAAGTGAAGGTAGTACCCAACCCCAACAGGAGGGTAATTTCAGTTTCAATTCCTCATTGTACGAAGATATTTTGATTTAAGACTATTAAAATTTTTGCATATGTTGTT